GATTCAGGTAGCTGTGTTCAACTTTTCTTTTCTCACCTGTTTGTCTCAGTTTTCAGAACCTGCTTATTTTGTCTCCCAGTCTTTAAAACACAAAGTGCTGAATCATTTTGAGATGTACCCTATCTCTGAGTAAAGTCTGCCCCCCCCCCACCACCACCATCTCCTTTTAATATTCACTATATTCTATTTAATAAAATTATTTTTGTAATGGTACACCAAATGAAATTTTCTACATTTGTTCATTATCAAGAAGTCTCGTTGAAATTCTTGGTGAGTTAAATTTTATTTCTTAAAAAAAATTGAAAGTCACTCGTTGCTTTTAATAAATCAATAAAAAAAATTAAAATCCTTGTGAAAGAGCCGACTATGTCTTTATAATTCTAATTTAGAAAAAAATGCAGTCACAGTTGAACGTTTTCATGTCTTTCCTATTCTAAAATCATTTTGCCTGATCCAGTCATGCTTGCTTCTCATAATATATGAACACTGACTTATTGAATTCTCATCAATATTTTGACATCTTTCAGAAGTGATGTGAGAAAAAAGCTAAGTTAAAAAAACAAGAAGTGAAAATATAATATAAAAAGGGGAAAAATGCAAACAAGGGTGAAGCAGGAAACAAAGATGCTTCATCCCGTCTCATCACAGTTCTTTGATCTTAGCTGAAAAAAGCCCATGTACAAATTATCGTGACACATTCATACACATTTTTAAATGTGAGTTTGCCCCTTTTTGACCTAAGTGCAACAGCGTGACATGCAGATGATTGTAACACACTGTATGCTGAATGTCATCAGAAGGCTCAAGAAATCCACTACTCCATAGAAGTGAACGATAAACATAAAGGAAAAGAAAAATTGTACAGGTCCTCTGGATGGGTTCTTCTTTAATGAAACGTTTCGTCTCTCTTCCAAGAGACTTCTTCAGTCTGAGAGTTTCAGGCAAAATTCAGGCTATTGAGTCCTGCCTCCAGGTGACTGATATTCACATCACATGGCTATCGTTCACACCTAATTAATACCTATTGTTAACAGGGGTGGAGTGATACTGCCAATGGCAGCGCTGTAGGAGGGGGACAGCTGAAAACGGAGGCCCCCACCTCTGTTTAATGATGGATGATCTTTTTTACAAAAATGGCTTTTGAAAGCTACTGGGACATCATGACGTCCCAGTAGCTTTCAAAA